CAGTTGGTGGGTCAGTTGGTGGGTCAGTTGGTGGGTCAGTTGGTGGGTCAGTGGGTCAGTTGGTGGGTCAGTTGATGGGTCAGTTGGTGGGTCAGTTGGTGGGTCAGTTGGTGGGTCAGTTGGTGGGTCAGTGGGTCAGTTGGTGGGTCAGTTGATGGGTCAGTTGGTGGGTCAGTGGGTCAGTTGATGGGTCAGTTAGTGGGTCAGTTGGTGGGTCAGTTGGTGGGTCAGTTGGTGGGTCAGTTGTTGGGTCAGTTGGTGGGTCAGTTGGTGGGTCAGTTGGTGGGTCAGTTGGTGGGTCAGTTGGTGGGTCAGTTGGTGGGTCAGTTGGTGGGTCATCTGGTGGGTCAGTCGGTGGTTCAGTTGGTGGGTCAGTTGGTGGGTCAGTTGGTGGGTCAGTTGGTGGGTCAGTTGGTGGGTCAGTTGGTGGGTCAGTTGGTGGGTCAGTCGGTGGGTCAGTTGGTGGGTCAGTTGGTGGGTCAGTTGGTGGGTCAGTGGGTCAGACGACAGATCAGTCAGTGGGTCAGTTGATGGGTCAGTTGGTGGGTCAGTTGGTGGGTCAGTTGGTGGGTCAGTGGGTCAGTCGATGGGTCAGTTGGTGGGTCAGTTAGTGGGTCAGTTGGTGGGTCAGTGGGTGGGTGGTGGGGTCAGTTGGTGGGTCAGTTGGTGGGTCATTGGTGGGTCAGTTGGTGGGTCAGTCGATGGGTCAGTCGGTGGGTCAGTGGGTCAGACGACAGATCAGTCAGTGGGTCAGTTGATGGGTCAGTTGGTGGGTCAGTTGGTGGGTCATTGGTGGGTCAGTTGGTGGGTCAGTCGATGGGTCAGTGGGTCAGACGACAGATCAGTCAGTGGGTCAGTTGATGGGTCAGTTGGTGGGTCAGTTGGTGGGTCAGTTGGTGGGTCAGTGGGTCAGTCGATGGGTCAGTTGGTGGGTCAGTTAGTGGGTCAGTTGGTGGGTCAGTCGGTGGGTCAGTTGGTGGGTCAGTGGGTCAGACGACAGATCAGTCGGTGGGTCAGTTGGTGGGTCAGTTGGTGGGTCAGTTGGTGGGTCAGTTGGTGGGTCATTGGTGGGTCAGTTGGTGGGTCAGTCGATGGGTCAGTCGATGGGTCAGTCGGTGGGTCAGTTGGGGGGTCAGTTGGTGGGTCAGTCGGTGGGTCAGTTGGGGGGTCAGTCGGTGGGTCATCTGGTGGGTGATGTCGGTGGTTCAGTTGGTGGGTCAGTTGGTGGGTCATCTGGTGGGTCAGTTGGTGGGTCAGTTGGTGGGTCAGTTGGTGGGTCAGTCGGTGGGTCAGTCGGTGGGTCAGTGGGTCAGTTGGTGGGTCAGTTGGTGGGTCAGTCGGTGGGTCAGTGGGTCAGACGACAGAACAGTCGGTGGGTCAGTTGGTGGGTCAGTTGGTGGGTCAGTGGGTCAGACAACAGGTAAGTCGATGGGTCAGTTGGTGGGTCAATCGATGGATTAGTTGACGAGATGGGACAACAGCTAATACATAAACTCATTACATGGGTCAGCGTTTTGGTTGGTGTGGGTCATTGAATGTACGACTAACCTTAACACTAACATACTGGAATAATGTAAGTTTATTTCTCTTAAAGCAGGGTATGGTTTTGTTTTTATTTATTTTTTTTTTTGAGGTTTTTATCGTGAATTAGTCAGTCAGTCAACGCTATTCAGAAAATAGAATGTTTATCCGTAGATATAAACACGTCCTTGAACTTGAAACTTACAACTGATATATTCCATTAGGATTAATCTTATGTTGTGCCTTGGCTTAAAACCCCATTGAAGCCCACAAAATAATCATAGTTTAGCTTAGTCACTAGGGCTAATTAGGTCGGTGTGTTTTATTCCATAACGTACTGGTATAATTAGTTTCTATATACATTTTATTTCGTTCGTGCAAAGGGGGGGGGGAGGGGTTGAGGGGTGGTGTGATTGTTGTATTTAATTTTCTCCGATAAATTATGTTATTTAGAATTGTTGGATGAATACACGGACAACAGACGTACACATATTTACTTTGAACTTATTATAGACTGTTGCGATAGTTTCTTATACACATCGTATAAAATAATCGAGTTTCTCTTTAATGATGCGATTCAGGAATTTTACAATTCAAATCGTGATATTATCGAGTGCTGAGTTATCGTTCCTGATTGTTGTCAACATTGTGTAATGTGAGGGATGTAAAGTATGATAACGAGTAACCTTATAGTTTGACGTTTTTCTAGTTATGTAACTTGTGCAGGGTCCTTTATATTTGTATACATACTGTTCTTTTTGGCGTAGATATAAAATTTAATAATGGGTTTAAATTTCAGGGTTTATGTTGAAGGGAGTTAAAAAACAAAATAGTTAGAGTGTAGATTTGTGTTAAAGTTTTAGTTAGAGCGTAGGCCTACACGTTACTGTAGATTTAGTTTTGTTGTTGTTAAAGATTGCTTTATGGATTATATGTTTTACCCCGATAAGTTGATGTTTAGGATTATTTAAAGTTTGAGTTTCGTGTCTGAAAAGATGGTATAAAATTCAATTTATGATTTTTATTAACAAATTTTACAATTATTTTTAAATTTAATTTATCATGCCGAAGTTTAATTCTAGGTTTTTCCCGTAGTTTTTGTTTTGGAACTGTACGTTATTTCTATTTGAACTTTAAGTTAACATATATGATTAGGCTACGGTGTGCGTGATAACGTAAGTTTAGCTCAAACCTTTTATGAATTTCAGCTAGTTATGAGTTTTTTTGGGAATGGGTTAAAACTTGCATATGTGGTTGAGGCATACGATTCGGCTTTGGAAATGAGTTCCGATGTAGTTTGTAGATAAACTGTGGATTCTGTGAGTCAGGCGAGTTATTTTTTCAAAAAGTTTTAAGCTGACGTGTTGGTTAGGAAGTTGTGTCAGTATATTTAAGTTTCATTTTCCAGTTAAAGTTTTACAGTATCTTTTCGGTTTGCTTCAAATTCTGTGGTAGACAGATTTTTTTCATTAGTTTAACCAATTTGAATGGTCATATATGTATTTTAAAACTCACGCAAACGTTTAAATTAACGTCTAGGTTTAGACCCGGCCCGGCTGGTAAAACTATATATTTGTTTGTGTATGTGAGTGATTTTGTTTGTTTGTGTGCGTGTGCGTATGTGTGTGTGCACATACACACATCACAATGTCACCGCCAACTTCTCGACGATTTATTTTAAAAAACCTCTCCCCATAAATCAGCATGGGCCGTCTACGAACTGATAGCACGTCATCTGAAAACAACGTGAGTGGATCCAGTTGTGTCAGCTTTTATCTTCTAGCTGTGTCACGTCAGTCTCCAGCTGTGTCACGTCAGTCTCTAGCTGTGTCGCGTCAGTCTCTAGCTGTGTCGCGTCAGTCTCTAGCTGTGTCACGTCAGTCTCTAGCTGTGTCACGTCAGTTTAGCTGTGTCACGTCAGTCTCTAGCTGTGTCACGTCAGCCTCAAGCTGTGTCACGTCAGTCTCTAACTGTGTCACATCAGTCTATAGCTGAGTCACGTCAGTCTCTAGCTGTGTCACGTCAGTCTCTAGCTGTGTCACGTCAGTCTCTAACTGTGTCACGTCAGTCTCTAGCTGTGTCCCGTCAGTCTCTAGCTGTCACGTCAGTCTATAGCTGTGTCACGTCAGTCTAGCTGTTTCACGTCAGTCTCTAGTTGTGTCACGTCAGCCTCTAGCTGTGTCACGTCAGCCTCTAGCTGTGTCACGTCAGTCTCTAGCTGTGTCACGTCAGTCTCTAGCTGTGTCACGTCAGTCTCTAGCTGTTTCGTGTCAGCTACTATCACCGAACCAGGAGTAAAATTACAATTCGACAGTTAAGCAATTCAACTGTGAAGCAATTTTCTTGCACTGGCCCCCTACCCAATTTACTCCAACCCCCACCCTCTCTACCCCACACCCCCTCTACCCCCCTACCCCACACCAGCCTCTACCCCCACTGTGACTGCACGAACTGGCCATTAGAGTGAGATTTGAGTCCCATTATTTATACCCCTTGTTATCACGTATCAGATGATAAGGCAAATTATTTATGGGCAGGCTTGCCAAATTGGCTGTCACAATAAAAACCGCAATTTGATCGTTGTTGATTTAGGTTTACAATTTCTAACCAACAAACCAAAGATTTATAAAACATTTATAAGTGATTTCCATCCCATATTCAGAAAATAAGAAAATAGAAAGTGATGCTAATTAAAAATAAAATATGCAATTTTTTCAGATGTATTGATGGAGCTTTTGGTCAAATGTCGTTTTGAGAGAATAAAACTGTTTTATTCAAATTGTTTTGTCAGGGTAGTTTTTACTCCTAACGAAATGGAATCCAAGTAGTTTTCACAAATGACTAAAAGCACAGAGGGGCAGATAACAAATCATAACTTCTTATATTACATACGTTTATGGTAAAATGATATATAAGTTAAGCAGCTTACGAAATTTTATGAAATATACAGCGGCCAAAATAAAATTAAAACTCACCTCATTTGTACACACTAATAGCCAGTTTAATTAAACTCAAACATACACTTAACAGGTATAAAAAACTCACCTGTACAGGTAGCAGGTAAAAAAAAAAACTTCACCTGTACAGGCAGCAGGTAAAAAAAACTCACTTGTACAGGCAGCAGGTAAAAAAAAACTCACCTGTACAGGTAGCAGGTAAATAAACTTCACCTGTACAAGTAGCAGGTAAAACAAAACTCACCTGTACAGGTAACAGGTTAAAAAAAACTTCACCTGTATTGGTAGCAGGTAAAAAACTTCACCTGTACAAGTAGCAAGTAAAAAACTCACCTGTACAGGTAGTAGGTAAAAAAACTCACCTGTACATGTAGCAGGTAAAAACTCACCTGTACAGATAGCAGGTAAAAAAAATCACCTGTACAGGTAGCAGGTAAAAAACTCACCTGTACAGGTAGCTGGTAAAAAACTCACCTGTACATCAGACTGAACAAAGTGCAGCAGACATTGATCAGTGCTCACCTCTGACGGGGAAATAACTCCACGCTACTGCTTCGACTTTTCATAGTTAAATAAAAAGCAATTATTCCCTGAGAAAATAGCGCCGCTTGACTTGAAATCAATACATCTTTGATGGCAGTGGGCGCCAGCTAAACTGGTCAATTCGAGTTGGTTAAACGGGTCAATTCGAGTTGGATAAACAGGTCATTTCAAGTTGCTTAAACAGGTCAAGTTTGTTAAACATGTCAAATACAAGTTGGCTAAACAGGTTAATTCAAGATGGTTAAACACGTAACTTTAAGCTCGACGAAAAGGTAAATTGTAGTTTGTTAAACAGTTTTATTCATGTTTGTTAAACAGGTCAATTGAAGTTGGTTAAACAGGTCATTTGAAGTTAATTAAACAGAGCAGTTCAAGTTGTTTAAACAGGTCAATTCAAGTTGGTTAAATAAATCAACAGAAGTCGGTTAAACAGGTCAATTTAATTTTTGTTAAACAGGTCAATTCAAGTTGGTTAAATATGTCAATTGAAGTCGGTTAAACGGGTCATTTGAAGTTAATCAAACAGGTCAATTGAAGTTGTTTGACCATGTCAATTCAAGTTGGTTAAACAGGCCAATTCAAGTAGGTAAAACAGATCAGCTCCAGTAGGTTGAGAAATGTGTCAATGAATGTTGAGTCAGCCGGGGATGCAGTAGTTTCCTCAAACAATTTAACCAGTGTAGGTCCTAGCACCCTACTCCCCTGGGGACGGGCCATGGCAGCACTGATGTTGTTGAGACGGTTCCACTGTTTGGAGATTGACCCACCCGCTGATGAAAAAAAAAACGGTTTCAGGTTACAACACATCTTTTGTCAAATTAAATCTCAATATTGCTTTTGTTTTAGATGACAAGCATATCCTTTTAGGCGACAGATTCAAATCTAATCGTGCTATACAGGGGAAAAAACAAGTTCAATGTTATTGGCTTTTTAGCGCAATTTCCATACTGGGATTGCGATTATTAACTCGTCATTTCTGGATGGATGTGTGTCCGCAGCTTTAAGTCGTTTCTCCTCCTCAACGAAGCAATACCGAGGACTAGTTCCAAAAGCAATTATGTTAAGCAAGTTACGAGGATGAACATAGGCCATAAAAATTCCCGGAATTCCTTCCTGGATTTCCCGGAAAAGCCAAAAAAACTTCGAAAAAAATGCAGTGTTTGGCCCATATCTCGGCAACCAGACCACTTAGCGACTTGAAACATTTACCAATAGATTCCTGCCATAATTTAGAACAATATTGCTGAAGAAAGTTTTCAAAAATATCCTTTCGTTCGGTCACAATTTTTTTTTTCAAATTACATAAACACCTACAAACCGATCGTTCTCCTAGCTTGAACGCACCCCAGCATTATACGTCTTTGTGATCACTATCTATTTTTAGATAACATAAGGAAATTGCGCTTAAATTGTCACAAAACTTTTTATTAACTTGTTTATTCATGGTCAGTGTGTGATGTCCAGCCCACATCAATATAAGTACACTTACAACCATGTCTGTTTTCACACTGGCAAAAGTAATACTTGAAGGTTTATATGTGATGATTCGTAATAGAGTTATAAATTTACTTAAACAAACATATGTGGTGGTTTTTTTTTAAACATCGACAGTTTAAATTTGGTTAAAAAATAAAAGAATATGTTCTATGAAAAATTGTACAACTTGAGCTGTTATTTCTCGCTATTATAATAATTATATCCATTTTATGTTGGAAAAACCAGAGTTTAACCAAGTTTTATTAGCTTTAGATACGGCTGATACACACCTTCTCTATAACTCAAGCACCAGCTAAATATAAAACCAGTTTAACAACTCAAAGCTCCATCAAATAATGACTTGCTCAGTAACTTAAGCTTTCATTTTCTTCCCAGCGGCCCAGTATTATACAAATGTTTAAATTTTATACCTGCCGTTTTTGTTGTCTTTAATGAAATAGTATTTTAGTTTTAGATGTTGTCAATGCTAAAGTTTACTTAGGAGACCTACCCCTCTACCCCCCCCCCCCCCTTTTTTTTTACTGTGATTTTTACAGACCCAAACATAGAGCCATTCAATAGCAGCTGTATTGATTCGACTCGTCTATTGTAGGGGTGTCAGCATGGATTTCATCGACCTGACAAGGGAAATTGTTTGGATGTTGTTGTTCATTCAACAAAGTGCGGAGGGTGGGGCAAAACGGTTAGCCCGTCCTGTGTGAGGGGGTGGGGGGGGGGGGGGGGAGATGCCTTCCGGCATTTGTACCCCTTTAAACCTGGACACAACCTTACTACACTGATGGTAGATTTCTAATTATGGAACAAATAAGGTAAGTGGTGTCACTAATTTTAGGTATTATACAGAAAAATTACCACAAAAGCTAATTTTTACACGCTGGAGATCTCGCTTACCTATAATGCGTCTCCAGAGGCGTAGCGAGGGGGGGGGGGGCGGGGGCAGGGGGTGCGGACCGCACCGGGTGACACCATTTAGGGGGGGGGGGGGTGACACCAAGGCAAATAATAGCAAAATATATAGAGAAAAACTTGATGGGGGTGCTAATCGAAAGTTTGAGGGGGGGGGGGGGGGTGCAAATCGAAAATGTGTCCCCGGGAAGGGTCGCTACGCCTCTGGGGGGTGACACCATTAAGTGCCGCACCGGGTGACACCCGACCTCGCTACGCCACTGTACGTCTCTGATATAGATCTATGTGTTACGGCCAAAGTGCTGTCCCCAAGTTAGGAAAAATTTGAACACTTCTCTGGTTTTTTTAACGAAATTTACATTTTTCAAGGGGCCACCCCCTTCCCTTAATGGGGTAAAAAAATTAAGTTAAAATATTTTTCAGATTGGATTATATTTAGGGGTCGCTACCTGAGCGAGAACACTAATCATTTTCTTAGATTCAGCATACATGCGGAACAGTATATCAAATAACTTGTTCTTATTATTAAACACGGTTAAGACTGTAGAAACAATCAAGAAATTATAGAAAACATTAAATGTGTTTTGTGTAATAAAAGTGACGAGGTTACATTTTTTTCTGCTATCTTTCATTTTCTACAATGTTGTTTTTTAGTATTTTTAAAAATATTTTTTTTTTTTTTTAAAAATACATTATTTTGTGTTTTTGTCGAACGTGTATATGTATTCTTATCCTTGTTATTCACAGATACGAATACAATTATTGTTTTTATCTTTTGAGCTTTCAAAAATAATGAGTAACGTCATTCAATTTTTCAAAACTAAAAATAAGATAACCAACCAAGTTTTGTTCTGATTATAAAACCGTATTGCCTGTTTGTTTCACACAGTTGCTATCAAAAAGTTGGTATAGCACTGCCAATAATCAGCCAAAAGCTTTGTTACTTATCTTTTTTTTAGTTTTGAAAAAATAAAATAACGATAGTTATTTAGGCCATATTAAAAATGTCGTGGTGCTGGTAATAAAGGCAAGCAGTTTGCGAAGGGAAGTAATCGACTAAATAAATCTTCTTTCAGGACCAGGAAAGCTTCTAACCAATCAGCAGCGTGGATTCCAGAACTGCTTATGCCGAGATGACGCGTAGGTCACGTGGTCCTTACACAACCACTATCACGTGAACTGCACACGGTGTTTGTTTACATTTCAGTACCGTGTGACATTGTTTATATTTAGTGTCGAATGACATTGTCACTAAACTTTATGTCGTTGAATATTTCTTTTATAAAAGCCTATTTTAAATTAGTAAAGATCATTTTTAGGGCAAACGGACTGTTATGTAAATAGAGATTTTATTAAACATGACCGGAAGTGTGAGTGTGAGGGGGGGGGGGGCAGAAACAATGGAGGTCTAAGGGTTGTTTTACAAGAGCATTTTAAAACTAGGCCCTATCGTATAGTACTAAATCTTTGAGTAGAGTTGTTGAATAGAATATCTGGGTAGGTGTGTGAGATTAAAACCACAAATAACTGGCACCAGTTATAGAACGTTTTAATTTTAAAAACAAAGCAGCGAATCCCAGTAAAAAATCATTTTTCAAAAATCCTTTTTCACTGTGTATTTGAAAATGTTCTAAAGTAAGTTTACAATTATTCTGGAGCACACCCGCATCCACTGTCTAACAAAGGACACTTCCCAAAATAGTTGCAGGTCTTGTTAACTTAACGTTGTGTGTAGTGGTGAGAATGAGTTGTATAACAAAGGACACTTTCCAAAATAGTTGCAGGTTGTGTTAGCGTTGTGTGTAGTGGACAGAATTAGCGTAGTGTTTGGGCTATGTTGTGAACTTGGATTAGAGATAAGCTTAGCGCTAAAACCAGCAGGTTACCAAGCATAATATAGTTTCAAGTTTCCCACCAGTAAACAAATACCACTTTTTAAAGATTTCATTATGGTGGTGTAGGGGTATTACGCATTATCCTTTGTTGTTGTTTATTTATACTACGTTGAAAATTAATTAAAAATATTATGATTGATTGATTTTGTTTGTTTGAATAAGCTTTGATCCTGTGATTGACGGTAACACATCTAATTGATACGTGCATGACGCTGTGTCCCATCTTATTGACATGTATCCACAACCTGACCAGACGGATGTGTCCCATCTTATTGACATGTATCCACAACCTGACCAGACGGATGTGTCCCATCTTATTGACATGTATCCACAACCTGACTAGAGGGATGACGTTGTATCACATCTGCATGTATCCACAAACTGAGCAGACGGATGACGACGACTCACCTTCTATCCACAAGCTGAGCACACAGTGCAGACGATCTACTGAATGACTCATCTTTCGTGAGCTGTCCCTCAACATGTGGCGCATTATGACGTCATCAGAGCTATGAGATGTTTTATAAGGCCAATAAACATTGTCTCCCCTCTCTCCCGCACTCCTCGCCCTCCCCTTGTCTCGTATTACACCTCTCAGGTGTTTTTTTTTTTAATATTTAAATAAACTTTTTACTTTCTCCTAAATACGAAGTATAGAGAAAGTATTGTAAAAAAATCGAGATTTTTACAAATCTCGACGTTTTACTCCTCACTGATACGGAAAAACATAATTTTGCAATCTTGTCCGTATGTCTGTGTGTCTGTCTGTGTGTCTGTGTGTAAACACGATAACTTGAGTACCGTTACAGCTAGGTTGATGAAATTTCATATATAAGTATTTTATCCAAATCGTAGATCCTGAACAACTTATGAGCGATTTCCAATAACCGGTTGTGGTACTTTTTCTACTATGAATTTTTCAAAAGCATATAACTTGAGTACTATTTCAGATAGATCAATGAAATTTCACATGTAAGTAAAAGATCTAATTCTCTACATTCTGTCAAATTTTGAGTAATTTCCGTTGACCGGAAGTACTAATTGACGCTATTTCCGATTTCTCAAAAAACACATGTAAATTTATAAAGTACTAATAATTCTTTTTTCTATGAGATTCTATTCTATTTTTAAAAGTTTATTTAATTAAAAATCATGTCTATATTTCAAGTTATATAAGAATATTCGAGAAAATTTAGGGGAGATCACTCCCAGTTTATTTTTCAAGCAGATGGTAGAGGTGTGAGAGGGAGGGGCAGTGGCGTTGGGGGGGGGGGGGGGTTAGAACACGCCATGAAAGGGATTATGCGCAAGACTCCACTCATTGATCCTCGAAATATATATATATATATATATATATATATATATATATATATATATATATATATATATATATATATATAAATAACATCAAGTTATAGACATACAAACCATCAACTTACAGGCACACAGAACATCAAGTTAAATGCACACAGAACATCAACTTAATGACACACAGAACATAAAGTTAAAGACACAGAGAACATCAACACAGAACATCAAGTTAAAGGCACACAGAGAACATCAACACAGAACATCAAGTTAAAGGCACATAGAACATCAACACAGAACATCAAGTTAAAGGCACACAGAACATCAACACAGAACATCAAGTTAAAGGCACCTAGAACATCAACTTAATGACACACAGAACATTGAGTTCAAGACATATAATCTAGCCTGTGTTAGACAATAGGCCTATTGAGTTCCCACTCGATTTGTTTTCACATGGGAGGCCACTTTGTTATTCTATGTAAGTAGACATAGTTGTATAGTGCACCCCCAGCCCACCCCCCCCCCCCCCCAGCCCACCTCCCCAGCCCACCGCACCGTGCAGTAGGGGCGTCTGTGACAGAGTACAACACAAGGCATTGATTTAATTGACAAGGGGTTGTCGTTACTGTAGCACTTTGGTAGAACAACAGAGGCTAGTGGCGTCGCTTGTAAGACTAGTGTGTTGGTGTAATAATAACACTTGCAAGGTGAGCGTGTTGCTGTAATAACAGTGGCGTCACTAGCAAGGTTATTGTGTTGCTGTAATAACAGTGGCGTCACTAGCAAGGTTAGCGTGTAGGTGTAATAATAACAGAGGCGTCACTAGTAAGGTTAGCATGTTGTAATAATAACAGAGGCGTCACTAGTAAGGTTAGCATGTTGTAATAATAACAGAGGCGTCACTAGTAAGGTTAGCATGTTGGTGTAATAATAACAGAGGCGTCACTAGTAAGTTTAGCGTGTTGGTGTTATTATGTGTAACACTACTTTCTATGCCCTGCCCCTATCCCTACTGTTATGTTTGTTTAGGGCAGAGATATGCGGGCTGGGGAGTGGGTGGGAGGGTGGCCGTAGTGGGCTCAATAATTTTTGTGTTGTTTTCTTAGTTTTCGGATTTCCTTTACACAACTGCACGCCTATAAAATAGTAGGCCTTATGTAAGTAAAAAAAAAAAAAACAAGTTTAACTGCGTCTAATATCAGTATTCACTAGGATGACTGGTTATTTAAATCCAAATACTTCTAGATCTACGTTTAGTTAGAAAAATAACAGTAAAGAAATAATTAACTTAACCACGCATCTAAAAATAAAAGGCTGTTTTTTTTTTTTTTTTTTTTTTTTTTTTTTTTTTTTAATAAATTTCGCGAACTAACAGTAACAGAACCGAAGAAAGAAATAAGAAATTTTCCTCCATAAGAAGTTGGGCGATGCCCATGACCTTTGAGGTCACGCTGCGCTGTCGACTGTTATGAATGAAAGAAAAAAAATGAGTTCATGTGACTTGACTAGCACGTGACCCAAGGAAAAAAGTTTAAAGCTTAGGCCTACTGTATGGGGCGGGCTGTGGGGAGTTGGGTAGAATTCGCTTGGTAATTCGAACATAACATGAGATGTATCGGTCGATGACTGTCGCAGTCAATAAGTGCATGACAAAACAGATGTGCTATGCGGGCCTAGATTATACACTCGAGTCTACAGTTATGTTGCAAAATATTGGATAGCAGACGACAGGTTGGCCTACTTTGATTCTAAATATTTACGTACGTATGATTCATTTGATCTTATTTGTAACTTTTATTCTTTAATTAATACGTATATTAGATATATTATATCATTCTATAGATATAACGTTTAAAATTATGAATTGCATTCAAGTATTGATTATTTGTTAGTAGCCTATAATGTTAGTTTTATAGTAGTTGCCTATGGTATTAAAATAGTACGCCAGTAGTAAAACATTAAGACTTCACTACACTGTGCATACTTGATCTAGATCTAGTAATAGTTTAAATAGACTGTTTTTTTTATTACCTTATGCTAAATATGGTATTTGAACAATGATCTGCTTTAACATTTTGTTTTTGAAGTAAAACATTTAATACACTATAAGCCTACTGCAGCACCAACTATTGAGATATCAATAACTATAATGCTAATTGTGTATAGAAAGCTACCAACATATGCTACTTTTCTCCCTCAACACGACCATAATAAATATCGATCATACCTTTCACAAAGCGGTGTTGACATTTTAGTTAGCTATGGTGTCATTTGGTATGAAATAGAGAGGCCAAGTTTGGCCGACTTTCAATTATTTTAAGCATTTTAACTCTCGATATTATATATATATATATATATATATATATATATATATATATATATATACATATATATATATATATATATATATAACAACAAATTAACAAATAGAATAATAATAATTTACGTATTTCTCGCTATCTATATCATATATTTTATGATAAATACTGGCATGTATCAACTTCAACAACAAATTAGTAATTAGTTTCGCTTATCAAATTTATCTGACTACTTCCGAACATCTGTTGCACCGATGTCGTGATTCCGATCCAATATATATAAATAAACTCTGGATTAAGATCTATACGGCGAAATAAAGCCGAGCATTTCAAATATTTTTAGCTGTGTTGACGTAGCGACATGTGTTCACTGTGATTCACAAGGATTAGTTTTACCACTTTATTTGTGTGCTGCTACGTAAGGTATTCTTCGGATGGCCTCGATTTGGTAACAGTGGTATGGTGGGGTCTAAAAATAGATCACGTCATTGCCGCGATTCTGTGAGGATTTTAAATAGACCAAGTGTTTGATACTGATACTGTCAAGACAATTCGTAGAGGTAGGCTTATTTATTTAATACGTAATGTACTGACTGGTGAGGTATGTTTTGTAACTTTAACTTTTTTGGTACGCATACACGAACCCAGTCAAAATCTTAGTTCTCTCAATCTCATAATCATATTCATAACAATAACATTTCTACAATTACAAATTACAATCAATAGTATTTATTATAATATTTATAATATTTAGTTACATAATAATTTAATAAATAAATATAGTTTAAATTTATTAATTTTTATTTCGATATAGATTTAGATCTAGACCTAAGATTAGATCTATATAATTATTTGTATAGTGGCGTAGCGAGGTCGGGTGTCACCCGGTGCGGCACCTATAATGGTGTCAACACCCCCCCCCCCGTAAGAAAAAAAATATATAGGGCTATAGGGGGCCTAATATATATATATATATATATATATATATATATATATATATATATATATATATATATATATATATATATATATATATATATATATATATATATATTATATATATATATATATTCATTCCCTATACACATGTGTATATGTATTTAAATATTTTTTCTTCTGGATGTATGGGTAACCTATATCTAGATCTATAGCTTATTACGATTCACAACCAAACCATTTTCCTCGGGCATATATTGCAATGTTGAGTTGATGTAACTCCCCCCCCCTCCCCCCCTAGACTCTAGGAATAAAATAAAATGTAAGGTGTATGTCCACCTGGATAACAGTGACAGTAGGATACTATGACAGGACCTGTGCAAAAGTAGAGGTGCTGGATCTAACTATACTACTATACTATATAAATCTATTTATTTTTTTAGTGTGCATAAATATTAAAGGACGTCATATTTTTTTTTGACACTTGATTCCGCCTCCCCCCCCCCCTCCCGAAAATATAAAAATGTCTGGAAGGAACAATGCTACCCTAATAAACCAAAAGGAAAAGTAACAGTTAATTACAGAGTTGTACCCCTTATATTGAAATGAACCCCTCCTCCTCCCATTGTAGGTCTACACACCATTAGGCATACCTGTCCAGTTTATGTTTTTACTGATAAAATCTACACACCATGAATTGGCACACCTAGCCAGCTTAATATGTTTTTACTGATAAAAATAGATTTTAAACATACTTTAAGTGATATGTAAATTTATGCAGAAAAATGACTCAAACCAATTAGCAATGATAATTAAGCCTTTCTGGTCAATTAACATGTCCTTCATAACCTGAGTCAGTAACTTTATTCTTAGTTACCTTAACCTTCGTCATCAATTAATTACTGTGATCATTTTCAAAACATTTTACACTTCTATCAATATTTGTAATTCACTGGTGTACATTTTGTGTTTATAGGTCATTTTCTTGATCTGAATTCGGTTTTTTGTTCAAATGCAGAGTTTTTAAATAGTGCGCATGTAGAAATGTTTATTCTCTAGGGTATGTTTGTATGGTGTCATATGTTTATAGGCTAGTTTAGTGATGTACGTTATAGTTTATAGTTTAGTAATGTACGGTATAGTTTATATAGTTTAGTGATCTAGATTATAGTGTTTACAGTTTAGTGATGTACATTTTTAGTGTTTATAGGGTATATTTGTATGGTGTCATATAATGCTTATAGGCTAGTTTAGTGATGTACGTTATAGTTTATAGTTTAGTGATCTACATTATAGTGTTTACAGTTTAGTGATCTACATTATAGTGTTTACAGTTTAGTGATCTACATTATAGTGTTTACAATTTAGTGATGGACATTTTTAGTGTTTACAGTTTAGTGATCTACATTATAGTGTTTACAGTTTAGTGATGTACATTTTTAGTGTTTACAGTTAAGTGGTTTACAACCTAAAAATGTTAAGATTTCATTTGTTAGGTTAGCTGTGAGCCCTTCATTATCTGTTAAGGATAAAGGGCTTATTATTGGGGTAGGTATTGTGTAAAGGTATAGTTTTTGTCAGGATATAGTAAGTTCCTATATAACAACACTCGTTTTATGCTACTTCTGATATTTTAGACTTCAAACCTTCTGTTTTGCCGAATTTTCACATTACTGATCAATTTATTTTTTTCCTCAGATTTATACTCAGGAATTAAAGGCTAATTTTCACCTTTATTCAGGCCAGTTGATCTCCTTGCAGTGTGATATAATCTTATGACCTACAGTCAGTGGTTTCATGGCTGAACATACAGGCCTCGCCCCTGACTGACCTCAGCTGTTCTCACAGAGTTCAGATACTGTAAAAAATATTTCAAGTGCCTTAGGATAATTTCCAGGATGAACCTGTCTGATATCCTGAAGGAAGTGGGCAATGAAGGATTGTTCCAGATCTTGACCCTGCTGGTGCTGACCATGCCAAAAATGCCGATCCAGTGGAGTATGACGATGATGTCATACGCGTCGAACTCCCCAAAGTGGTGTTGCGTGCCTCAGGATGTTGTTGTTGACACCAACTGCGAAACCTTCCAGTCGGGGAACTCCTCCGTCATCTCTTACAAGTCTTCGTATCTGCAGTGTCACCTGAACAGTACAGAGTGTGACCACCGGGTTTATCTGCCCCCTGATGGGGCTCTAACTGCAGTGACCGAGGTCAGTACCTGGGTTAGTTATTGAAATGTAAACGTTTTCTCTTTGGAATACTTTTGTCCAAAAAATTTTTTAAAAGGTCCCCACAAAGTAAAAAAAAATTGGGCAGGTGAAGTAGAGTTTACCTGTTTCAGTGCCCTCGGCATATGAAGGGCTAGTGTGGTTAGCACTGACCAACCGCCTTTACTTTTTAATGTGAGTCAGGTAACCATCAGAGCTTGTTGGACCTAGGGATACTCAACAAACTGGACTCTGAATTCAAAGCAGAGACTTTTGGGCTAGCAGTCGTATCCACTTCCATCCAACCATACCGTCTCAGTAGCGTCTAAGTGTCATATTATTATCAAATGCTGTTTTTACAATGTTAAATTAGCCGACATCAAATATGCATAGAAGTGCAACACTATCACTTCTACAAATTTACATCCAGCACTCACACTTGTACTGGCCACACAATTCCATTGTTCTCTTTGTTCAGGTCGCCACATAATTCCATTGTTCCCTTTGTTCAGGTCTAAATTTATTCTGTCTGAATCCATCAGTATAGTGACAATTTAATCACATTGCCCTAGGCTGTGTGGGATGATAATCTTTGTTTTTTTACTGCTCAAACTGCCAGAATAATCACCTAGCCAAAAGGCTTGTTTACTGTCTGATATGGTTGAAGTACTTTACTGTAAGCACTTAAATATGCAAACATCTCATAGATATTAAAGTTTTGTATTTTGTAAGTCTAAATATAGTGATCATGTTACCCATCACTATAGTTCTGACTTAAGTTTCATAATATATCATCAAACTTAAATTTACTACCACTGTCCTAGTTAACTAGACCTAACTTAAATAACTGTATCAGTTAACTAGACCTATCTTAAACCACTGTCCTAGTTCACTAGACCTAACTTAAACCACTGTCCTAGTTCACTAGACCTAACTTTAACCATTGTCCCAGTTCACTAGACCTGACTTTAACCACTGTCCCAGTTCACTAGACCTAACTTAAACCACTGTCCCAGTTAACTAGACCTAACTTTAACCACTGTCCCAGTTAACTAGACCTAACTTTAACCACTGTCCCAGTTAACTAGACCTAACTTTAACCACTGTCCCAGTTCACTAGACCTAAATTTAAACAATGTCGCAGTTAACTAGACCTAACTTAAATAACTGTATCAGTTAACTAGACCTAACTTAAACCACTGTCCCAGTTAACTATAGCTAACTTTAACCACTGTCCCAGTTAACTATAGCTAAATTTAACCACTGTCCCAGTTAACTAGACCTAACTTAAATAACTGTATCAGTTAACTAGACCTATCTTAAACCACTGTCCCAGTTAACTATAGCTAACTTTAACCACTGTCCCAGTTAACTATAGCTAAATTTTACCAATGTCCCAGTTAACTAGACCTAACTTAAATAACTGTATCAGTTAACTAGTCCTAACTTAAATAAATGTATCAGTTAACTAGACCTATCTTAAACCACTCTCCCAGTTAAATAGAGCTAACTTTAATCACTGTGATTAAACTATGACACAGTATGCTATAGATGCAGATGACTGCTTGAGTGTCAACAAAATCAATACAATGGCCATAAAAAGATGAGCAAACCAATCAAAATGTCTTTTGTCTAATCAGATCAATAAGACGTGTACCAGATTTTTGTATGTCTTATATGTAAAGTATGTTTCAGGATTTTACTTTTATAAAAAAGTTAGCTGGGTGATAGGATATGATGCACCAGAACATTTGAAACCATTATGTGTTGTTTAAGTAAAGTTTCCCTTTCAATCCTGACGGTCTATGGGGCAAGTGAAGTAGAGTTCACTTGTTTCTGTGACCTCGGCATATGAAGAGATAGTGTGGTCAGCACTATGCCCAGCCGCCTTTACTTTCCCTAACGTGAGTTAGGTACCCATCAGAGTTGGGTGGACTCAGAGATGGTCTACTGACTTAAACCCGGATTCGACCTCGAGACTTATGGGTTAGCAGTTCAGCTCTCTACTGCTAGACCACTCCGTCCCATGTGCTGTTTAACAAAAGTTTAAGCCTGACTGAAATAGTTACTGTCCCTTAGACAATGGCTGTATGTGTTAGCCACAAGATTAACCAAAGTATCAATTATGTTTAGCTTAACCTCTTTAATTATGTTTTTTTGTTTTTTTTACAGTTCTAAATTTAGATATTTTATTAGCTTTAGAGAATTGAAAACAAAAAATGAAATTTTTTTTTCCAGTGGGACCTGGTGTGTGAGAAAAACTGGATTGTATCCGCTTTGTCATCCATACAAATGGGTGGGGTGATGGTGGGAGCTTTGGTCAGTGGATACCTGTCGGACTTGTTTGGCAGAAAAAAAGTTCACTTTGCGTCCATTTTTCTACACGCTGTGTTCAACGTCCTGGCAGGCGTGTCCATCTCCTGGCCCATGTTTGCTGTCTTCAGGTGAGTGCTGGACCTAAGTTACCTGCCCCATGTTTGCTGTCTTCAGGTGAGTGCTGGACCTAAGTTACCTGGCCCATGTTTGCTGTCTTCAGGTGAGTGCTGGACCTAAGTTACCTGGCCCATGTTTGCTGTCTTCAGGTGAGTGCTGGACCTAAGTTACCTGGCCCATGTTTGCTGTCTTCAGGTGAGTGCTGGACCTAAGTTACCTGGCCCATGTTTGCTGTCTTCAGGTGAGTGCTGGACCTAAGTTACCTGGCCCATGTTTGCTGTCTTCAGGTGAGTGCTGGACCTAAGTTACCTGGCCCATGTTTGCTGTCTTCAGGTGAGTGCTGGACCTAAGTTACCTGGCCCATGTTTGCTGTCTTCAGGTGAGTGCTGGACCTAAGTTACCTGGCCCATGTTTGCTGTCTTCAGGTGAGTGCTGGACCTAAGTTACCTGGCCCATGTTTGCTGTCTTCAGGTGAGTGCTGGACCTAAGTTACCTGGCCCATGTTTGCTGTCTTCAGGTGAGTGCTGGACCTAAGTTACCTGGCCCATGTTTGCTGTCTTCAGGTGAGTGCTGGACCTAAGTTACCTGGCCCATGTTTGCTGTCTTCAGGTGAGTGCTGGACCTAAGATACTGTAAAACTTTGCTTTGGTGGAGAGGGGGGGACAAACTTTGGCCACTTTGCCTTCTTGAGAGATGCCTGAATGAAACACTACTTAGCTTAGCAGAGTTTGTTTTCAAACTAAGATCAAAATGCAACAGAAAAAGCCAGTTGATCAAATTTAATTATAATAAAATATCTTCTTACGAAAACATAGAAGATACACACATAATGTTTTATTATATTGGGTACTCCCCATTTTATTTGATGGCTGTCAATGTCAAGTGTAGGTTTATCTCCCTTTAATTACCTCCCTTTTATTACCTCTCTTTGTTCCGCCAGCTTTGATTACCCATCTAATGAGATACAATGTTATGAAATTTTGTACATTTATTTGCCCCACAAATGTTTTGATTTTGTTTTTTTTGTTCAATTTTTTACCCTTGTTTATTTGATTCTAAAAATAGCACATGTGGAGCATATTTTTGTATCACTTGTCAGCCAATATTACAAAATTAATTCTGTAGGATTATTCCAATTGATAGGTGTGAATTACATGATACAATACAGTAAAACATTGACTGTATGTAAACTTTTAGTGTAATGTTACATGTCAGCTATTGTATTAGATTAGAAAAACTTTCAAACCCACAGACTAGTGTTTGGTTAATGGTTTTACTCCTTGTTGTAATATTTTCTACACTTTGAGTTTGTAACAAAAGGCATGTCATTGAAACAAATGAAGCAGAGTTTTAGTACGATTGTTAGAAAGGTGTCTAGTGGTCAGCTTGGTTAAAAAAAGTGTTGAATTTACTGTCAGCGCCCCAGATGAGTGGCAAATGCAGCTAGTAAAACTGAAAATAATTTGTACATTTATTTCATTTTCAGGTTCCTGATTGGATTTTTTATTGGTGGGTACCTGGTGGTTCATGTACCCTACGCTCTGGAGTTTATCTCCCCAAGGTGGAGAGTTATACCAGCATCGCTTCCCTTTGCTGCCATAGGTGCCTCGTTACTTCCCCTTGCAGCTTGGTCTCTACCAGACTGGCGCTGGATGCATTTTGTATGTGCCATTTTCTGTGCACCATTTTTACTTGCATACTTGTGAGTTTTATTTTATTTGTGTTTTGTTCCACACATTTTATTAAGGTTTCCAACTTCTTGCTTATCTGTTTATTAAAGTTAATAGATAACAGCATTGTCATGTTTGCTAGAGTGTATAATTTGTGGTCAATTTGTGGGTTTGTGGTGAAATTTGTAACTCACTTTTGAACCACTTTTACTTTTAGTGCAGCGATATTGTTTAAATTTTCCATATACATGTGTCTTCAAAGAGAAAGCAAGAATATCAATTTTCATTTATTTATATGTTAAATTATGTATGAAATATCACTTAAACAACTTGAAAATGAAGTAGACATAACAAGATTAAGTACATGCAATGGCTGACTGTTCTTGTCAAATAATTTTTCAGCTTTATGCCAGAGAGCATGCGGTGGCTGACTATCAAAGGTAAAGTGGAGGAAGCAGCCCAGGTCGTTGAAACAATTGCCTGGGTCAACAGGAAAACAGATTACCACCAGAAGAAGTGTCTGGAGAAAATAGAGGTAACTTTTGTTGTCTTCTCCTAGAGGTAACTTTTGTTGTCTTCACATAGAGGTAACTTTTGTTGTCTTCTCCTAGAGGTAACATTTGTTGTCTTCTCCTAGAGGTAACTTTTGTCTTCACATAGCAGTAACTTTTGTTGTCTTTACATAGAGGTAACAGTTGTCTTCTCATAGAGGTAACATTTGTTGTCTTCTCCTAAAGGTAACATTTGTTGTCTTCACTTAGTGCTATGATTTGTTGTCCGATCTTGTCACATTTACTTAGTCAAAACTTTCTAACCTGATACCTGTTTTGTTCCAATTCTCTTTATAAGATAACCATTTTTATATTATTTGTTAGTTTAGACCAGGGGTTCCCAACCCTGTGCCCGAGGGCGCCATGGCGCCTGCTGAACGATTCGTATGCGCCCGCCTCTCAATATTTGACGGAGACAGAATTTTTTTTCATAAACATTATTTTAAAATATGATTTTTATTCATTTTCTACAGTTTTAATTTTTTTGGATTGTCTAGGTTTATTAAATACGAGAAAAATGGCCCGTTGAGGAAGGATACACCGGGCGCTAGGTTGATAGTGCTGTCTCTTTTCTCTAAACAAAAACCACCCCCCCACACACACCACCCCCACCCCCACCCACACCACCCCAACCCCCCACCCCCCCCACACACACCACCCCCCACACACCACCCCCCCCCACCCCCACCCCTACACACACCACCCCACACACACACCACCACCCCCCCCCCACCCCCCACCCCCCCCCCCCCCCCCCAAAAAGCATGTCTACCGTCCCATTCAACAAAATATAATTATATACTTTTTCCAGTGTCCGCCCCCTCCCCGAAAATTCTACCCCCGCCCCCGAAAATTTCAAGTACCCCCACCCCTCTCCGGGGAGGAAAAAGTCTAAATTAAAACCACCCCCCCCCCCACTCACCCCCCATCCCCCCCCCCCACACACCCCCCCTCCCCCCACCCCCCACCCACAACCCCCCCCCCCCTAAAAAAACATGTCTACCGTCCCATTCAACGAAATATAATTATATACTTTTTCCAGTGTCCGCCCCTCCCCGAAAATTCTACCCCCGCCCCCGAAAATTTCAAGTACCCCCACCCCTCTCCGGGGAGGAAAAAGTCTAAATTAAAACCACCCCCCCACTCAACCCCTCCCCCACCCCCACCCCCCTCAGACGTTCTTACGCGGGGGTGGGGCTTCGCCCCTACCCGAAGAATTGTATGCAAGAAACTCTTCACGCAAACCATTTAGATTAGACAACATTTCCTTTTTTTCAATGTTTCAATGACGTCATTACATTACTGTGTGCACTCTCTGGTTTGAGATTATGTTCTACTCTACGCTAAATGTGTCGACGTCATATTTCGTTTTTCGAATTACTGTGCAGGTTTTTAAATTCCTTGTGTTTTCTCTAGAGCGTTCTTGTCAGACAGATAGATAGATAGATAGATAGATAGATAGATAGAGAGACAGCGAAACTATTATTATAGACGAGAAAAATGGCCCGTTGAGGAAGGGTACAACGGGCGCTAGGCTGATAGTGCTGTCTCTTTTCTCTAAACTAAAACCAACCCACCCCCCCACACACCACCCCCACCCCACCCCCCCACCCCCACACACCACCCCCACCCCCACCCCCCACCACCCCCAACCCAACCCCTCAACCCCACACACCACCCCCACCCCCCACCACACACCACCCCCACCCCCACCCCTCACCCCCACACACCACCCCCTCCACACACCGCCCCCCCACCCCCCCCCCCCACCCCCAAAAAAAAACATGTCTACCGTCCCATTCAACGAAATATAATTATATACTTTTTCCAGTGTCTGCCCCCTCCCAGAAAATTCTACCCCCGCCCCCGAAAATTTCAAGTACCCCCACCCCTCTCCGGGGAGGAAAAAGTCTGAAAGAAGCACTGAAACCAACCCACCCCCCCCCACACACCACCCCCACCCCCCCCCCACCCCCACCCCCCACCCCACACACACACCACCCCCCACCCCCACCCCCCACACACACCACCCCCCACCCCCAAAAAAAACATGTCTACCGTCCCATTCAACGAAATATAATTATATACTTTTTCCAGTGTCCGCCCCCTCCCAGAAAATTCTACCCCCGCCCCCGAAAATTTCAAGTACCCCCACCCCTCTCCGGGGAGGAAAAAGTCTGAAAGAAACACTGAAACCAACCCACACACCACACACCACCCCCCCACCCCCACACACCACCCCAACCCCCCCCCCCCCCCACACACCCCCCCCCCCCCCCACACCCACCCCTCCACCCCCCCAAAAAAAAACATGTCTACCGTCCCATTGCAAGAAAACCACTTTTTAGATTAGACACATTAATTAGGCGGTAATTTTATTATAGAGTATCGATGAGGAAATTTCTTTTGAGTTGTGGAGGGGGGGGGGCTCAGACGTTCTTACGCGGGGGGTGGGGCTTCGCCCCTACCCGAAGAATTGTATGCAAGAAACTCTTCACGCAAACCATTTAGATTAGACAACATTTCCTTTTTTTCAATGTTTACGCGATAATCAATGACGTCATTTTACTGTGTGCACTCTCTGGTTTAAGATTATGTTCTACTCTACGCTAAATGTGTCGACGTCATATTTCGTCTTTCGAATTACTGTGCATGTTTTTATTTTGCTTGTGTTTTCTCTAGAGCGTTCTTGTCAGACAAAGCGTTCTTGTCAGACACAGAGCGTTCTTGTCAGATAGACAGACAGCGAAACTATTAGTATTAACGAGAAAAATGGCCCGTTGAGGAAGGGTACAACGGGCGCTAGGCTGATAGTGCTGTCTCTTTTCTCTAAACTAAAACCAACACCCCCCCCCCCCCACACACACACCACCCCCACCCCCCCCCACACCACCCCCACCCCCCCACACACACCACCCACACACACCACCCCCACCCCCCCACACACACCACCCACACACACCACCCCCTCCACACACCGCCCCCCACCCCCCACCCCCACCCCTGCACCCCCCCCTCCACCTCCCCCCCCCCAAAAAAAAACATGTCTACCGTCCCATTCAACGAAATATAATTATATACTTTTTCCAGTGTCCGCCCCCTCCCAGAAAATTCTACCCCCGCCCCCGAAAATTTCAAGTACCCCCACCCCTCTCCGGGGAGGAAAAAGTCTGAAAGAAACACTTAAACCAACCCACCCCCCCACACACCACCCCCCCCCCACCCCCACACACCCCCCCACCCCTCCACCCCCCCCCCCCCACCCCCACCACCCCTCCACCCCCCCCCCCCCCCCCACCCCTCCACCCCCCCCCCCCCCCAAAAAAAAACAAACATGTCTACCGTCCCATTGCAAGAAAACCACTTTTTAGATTAGACACATTAATTAGGCGGTAATTTTATTATAGAGTATCAATAAAGAAATTTCTTTTGAGTTAGGGAGGGGGGGGTGGGCTCAGACGTTCTTACACGGGGGTGGGGCTTCGCCCCTACCCAAAGAATTCTATGAAAGAAACTCTTCACGCAAACCACTTAGATTAGATAAAATTTGCTTTTTTCAATGTTTACGCGATAATCAATGACGTCATATTACTGTGTGCACTCTCTGGTTTGAGATTATGTTCTACTCTACGCTAAATGTGTCGACGTCATATTTCGTTTTTCGAATTACTGTGCATGTTTTTAAATTGCTTGTGTTTTCTCTAGAGCGTTCTTGTCAGACAGAGCGTTCTTGTCAGACAGAGCGTTCTTGTCAGATAGACAGACAGCGAAACTATTATTATAGATGTTCGATACTTGTCCCAACTTGTCTAGCGGCGAGCTAGACTGCAGTATTTACGTTTTGTAAATACATTTCTCTGTATGTATGCAATTTGAAAAAAATGCCAAATAATTTTATTATTTTGAAACATTTTTGTTTATTATTTATTAATACATTATGATTACAAGAAAATAATAAAATAATAAAATAATTTATGGGAAAATGACAAGTTATGGAAAAAGTTTGTCGATTTAAAATAGGTGGTGCCCGCCACCCTACCGATATTTTAGAATGTGCTCTAGAGTAAAAAAAGGTTGGGAACCCCTGGTTTAGACTATTACTTTGTATTATTCTTTTTCTTAGTTTAGATCATTACTTACTATTATAAATGTGTTAGTTTAGTAAAAGACATTGTATTATAACATAATGAATTTTGAAATAGAACAAAATAAAAGGTTAACGTGTACACTGATCTCTCTAGGCCATTGCCCAAAAGGAGAGAGAACTAAAGGATAAAGGCAAGAAATACTCCTACATAGATGTGTACAGGGACTGGCCCATGGCCAAACTTACCCTCACTCAGCAATACGTTTGGTTGGTTTACATTTTTCTTATTGTTGTGTACAATTATTTTTACCACATATTATAAGCGAAATTTTATTCAAGGGAGGCAACCAAATGTTTAAGCTGATTAACTTTAATAGGACTTATTTCCCATTACTAAAATGTTTGTGCATTGTTGTTTTCTTTTAGTAATAAAACAGATAATGTTAGTTACCTCACAAGTTAAAAACAGGTACAAAAACGTCCATAGTATTTTTACCTGTCTTTAACTTGTGAAGTAACTAACACTATCTGTTTTATTACTAATTGAATTAACCTCACTGCAGCTACCATTTGTATTTAATTTACTGTTATTCACTGGAAGATGTTGAGAAGTTTTAATTTGATTATTTCCCTTTGCTCAGGTTCACAACTTCACTCGTGGGTTATGGGATCATCCTGGGGATCTCCAATCTGGCAGGGAACATCTATTTGAACATGTTCCTGGTGGAGGCGGTGGAGATTCCCTTCATCCTCATCACGTGCTACTTCAACAACTGGTAACTGACTTGCTTGTAGCCTGCTGTAGATTGGTCAGTGTGTGGTCAGTGTTTGGTCACTATGTTTGGTCACTGTGTAGTCAGTGTTTGGTCACTGTGTGGTCAGTGTTTGGTCAGTGTGTGGTCAGTGTTTGGTCAGTGTTTGGTCACTGTGTGGTCAGTGTGTGGTTAGTGTGTGCTCAGTGTGTAGTCAGTGTTTGGTCATTGTTTGGTCAGTGTTTGGTCAGTGTGTGGTCAGTGTGTGCACAGTGTGGTCAGTGTTTGGTCAGTGTTTGGTCACTGTGTAGTCAGTGTTTGGTCAGTGTGTGCACAGTGTGGTCAGTGTTTGGTCACTGTGTAGTCAGTGTTTGGTCAGTGTGTGGTCAGTGTTTGGTCAGTGTGTGGTCAGTGTGTGCACAGTGTGGTCAGTGTTTGGTCAGTGTTTGGTCACTGTGTAGTCAGTGTTTGGTCAGTGTGTGGTCAGTGTGTGCACAGTGTGGTCAGTGTTTGGTCACTGTGTAGTCAGTGTTTGGTCAGTGTTTGGTCACTGTGTAGTCACTGTTTGGTCAGTGTGTAGTCACTGTTTGGTCAGTGTGTGGTCAGTGTTTGCTCAGTGTTTGGTCAGTGTTTGGTCACTGTGTAGTCAGTGTTTGGTCTTACTTGTGTCATTGTATTTCCATGTGCTACATCAGCAACTAGTAACGTCCACTCTATGTGCTACATCAGCAACTAGTAACGTCCACCCTTGTACTGTAGACTGGTTGTAAACCTGCCCCTCTTGTGTGTGTGTACATTTGTTTACCACCCAGTTAACTGTTGACTTGACAAAATATGAGAGCCAATACTTTTACTCATCTAACAGTATAGGCAGGAGAATGACAGCGTTGATCTACTTTAGTTTTGCTACAGTTGCTGGGACTTTGGCGCTTATATTTCATCGTAAGTGGTCTAACTTTAAGTGTGTATGTCAGTGTAAGTGGTCACTGTTTTATGCGATGTCTCATACGTCCTGTGTTCAGTTCCTTGCAAGTGCCTATAATTAGTGTGAAATATTTTTGTGGAATACTTTTTGTTGTAACAAATTGTTATTTACACTTTACAAAGTTTGTTCACTATTTTACATAAAATTTGTTCAAATTTTTAGCATTTGTGGGTCTTATACTACTTTTAAAAGCTGCATATACCCAGGTTCAATCAGGTTTAACTAAACTAAATTTCTCAGTCTGCTTCGCCAGGACACAGGTATCACCATCATGTGTATCACCACCTGCCAATAAACTCACCTTTCTCTTCTGCAGTTGTCCCTGACCTGCCCCACAAAGACACAGGTATCACCATCATGTGTATCACCACCTGCCAATAAACTCACCTCTCTCTTCTGCAGTTGTCCCTGACCTGCCCCACAAAGACACAGGTATCACCATCATGTGTATCACCACCTGCCAATAAACTCACCTTTCTCTTCTGCAGTTGTCCCTGACCTGCCCCACAAAGATACAGGTATCACCATCATGTGTATCACCACCTGCCAATAAACTCACCTTTCTTTTCTGCAGTTGTCCCTGACCTGCCCCACAAAGACACAGGTATCACCATCATGTGTATCACCACCTGCCAATAAACTCACCTTTCTCTTCTGCAGTTGTCCCTGACCTGCCCCACAAAGACACAGGTATCACCATCATGTGTATCACCACCTGCCAATAAACTCACCTTTCTCTTCTGCAGTTGTCCCTGACCTGCCCCACAAAGACACAGGTATCACCATCATGTGTATCACCACCTGCCAATAAACTCACCTTTCTCTTCTGCAGTTGTCCCTGACCTGCCCCACAAAGACACAGGTATCACCATCATGTGTATCTGCTGCAGGTCGTTTATAGCTGGTGCTGCTGCTGTGTTTGTGGTTGTGTCCACAGAGGTGTACCCTACTGTTATAAGGTGAGTTGTGTCACCACTACACCCTACTGTTATAAGATGAGTTGTGTCACCACCACACCTTACTGTTATAAGGTGAGTTGTGGTCACCACCACACACTACTGTTATAAGGTGAGTTGTGTCACCACCACACCCTACTGTTATAAGGTGAGTTGTCACCATCACACCCCACTGTTATAAGGTGAGTTGTGGTCACCACCACACCCTACTGTTATAAGGTGAGTTGTGTCACCACCACACCCTACTGTTATAAGGTGAGTTGTCACCATCACACCCCACTGTTATAAGGTGAGTTGTGGTCACCATCACACCCCACTGTTATAAGGTGAGTTGTGGTCACCACCACACCCTACTGTTATAAGGTGAGTTGTGTCACCACCACACCCTACTGTTATAAGGTGAGTTGTCACCATCACACCCCACTGTTATAAGGTGAGTTGTGTCACCACCACACCCTACTGTTATAAGGTGAGTTGTCACCATGACACCCCACTATTACAAGGTGAGTTGTGTCACCACCACACCCTACTGTTATAAGGTGAGTTGTGGTCACCACCACACCAATATAAGGTGAGTTGTGTCACCACCACACCCTACTGTTACAAAGCTATATATTTTTGGCCTTTCTTGGTAGGCTCCAGATAAACCAACAAACAACACTCATCATATTTCTTTACACCATAAAGTATAGCATTAGTTTATAAATAATCTTTTTGTTTTGCTGTTACAGAACTCTGGGATATGGTGCTGCTAACACAGCCGCTAAAGTGGGTGGCGTCCTGGCACCATTTCTGATCAACATTGTAAGTCTGTATTATATTTCTCCTCATTCAATGTGTATTTATAGACACATTACCTGGTTTATTAATTCAACGTTTCGCAATCATTAATTAAAAGTATAAATAGTTTTGTAACATTGTACTTTAAAAAAAATTTTCCCTAGCTTTTTAAGTCTTCCTGGTTCTCTTATTTCCATGAGTGGTTAATTAAACAATAATGGTTATCATAATAATAGTTATCATAATAGTTATCATAATAATAGTTATCATAATAATAGTTATCATAATAATAGTTATCATAATGATTGTTATCATAATGATAGTTATCGTAATGATAGTTATAATAGTTATCATAATGATAGTTATCATAATGATAGTTATCATGATAGTTATCATAATGATAGTTATCATAATGATAGTTATCAAAATGATAGTTATCATGATAGTTATCATAATGATAATTATCATAATGATAGTTTTCATAATGATAGATATCATGATAGTTATTATAAGAATAGTTATCATAAGAATAGTTATTAAAAGAATAGTTATAAGAATAGTTATCATAAGAATAGTTATCATAAGAATAGTTATCATAAGAATAGTTATCATCAGAATAGTTATCATCAGAATAGTTATCATAGAATAGTTATCATAAGAATAGTTATCATAAGAATAGTTATCATATGAATAGTTATCATAAGAATAGTTATCATTAGAATAGTTATCATAAGAATAGTTATCATAAGAATAGTTATCATAAGAATAGTTATCATTAGAATAGTTATCATAAGAATAGTTATCATAAGAATACTTATCATAAGAATAGTTATCATAAGAATAGTTATCATAAGAATAGTTATCATAATATATCCAGTTATGTTTTTTACAGATTTTTCCCAGTATAATGTTTATCCTTATATTTCAGGATTCCATCCCCACCGTGGCGTACTCTGTTATTTCCTGCACCTGTTTCTTCTGCATCATCGCGGTCTGGTCCCTGCAGGAGACCAAGAACCTCCTGATGGAAGACACCCTGCAGAAGACAATCTCCAGGCGCAACTCTACGGTCTCCAAGACCAACTCTCTGGAGAAAACCCTCTCCCAGACGGACGCTATGCCACGGATTTTCATCGACCTGGATACGGATCTCATACACCACAAATCTTATTCCGAGTTTGAAGACAGCGGGGACGAGGAAGTGGATCTGGAAGTTGTATCCACTCCGCCATCCCCTGCGGTGGCAGTCAGTGAGAACCTGCCATTGTTGCGTCAACGGTTCCCCATGTACCACCCAGCTAGAGTGGGCACTGAGACGGATGCTGGTGTTGTTAATGGTGGTTGTGATGTGGCCGGCACACAGAGTCAAGCAGTGATGGACACTACCAGGGGGAGTAACCCTGTTCATGAACCAGAACTAAAGGGAGGCTACAAGAGTTTAGATGAAGGGAGGAAATCAGACGCTGATGGGACCACTAGCACACCAGACAACATGACAGATGGGAGGTTTATAAGGGAGTATTAATGTTTTGTTTTTAGATTTTATTCGTTTATACATAATTAGTTCCTGTACATGATTACACATTTTTTGGAAAGCTCGTTATATGTTATCAACATTTTGTGTTTACTTTTGTTAAAGTTTACATGAGTGCAATATATAGCCTTTGTGGACGAAAAAACTTAGTCTGTACATATCATTTGTGTTATGAGTTAAAGTGTATGTGTACATATATCAGTGTACAGCCGTATTTTATAACATTTTACTATGTGATAACTGTTTGAAATCGGAGGGTAATATTTTTATACATTTTTTTGTCAAATTTTGACTCAGTGATGTACGTGTGGGTTAGGGGTGGATTTGTACCTCACAGGTAGCTTAGTGGGTTAGGGGTGGATTTATACCCCACAGGTAGCTTAGTGGATTAGAGGTGGATTTATACCCCACAGGTAGCTTAGTGGATTAGAGGTGGATTTGTACCCCACAGATAGCTTAGTGGATTAGGGGTGGATTTGTACCTCACAGGTGGGTCAGTGGATTAGGGGTGGATTTGTACTCCACAGGTAGCTTAGTGGGTTAGGGGTGGATTTGTACCTCACAGGTGGGTTAGTGGATTAGGGGTGGATTTGTACTCCACAGGTAGCTTAGTGGGTTAGGGGTGGATTTGTATTCCACATGTAGCTTAGTGGATTAGGGGTGGATTTATACCCCACAGGTAGCTTAGTGGATTAGAGGTGGATTTGTACCCCACAGATAGCTTAGTGGATTAGGGGTGGATTTGTACCTCACAGGTGGGTCAGTGGATTAGGGGTGGATTTGTACTCCACAGGTAGCTTAGTGGGTTAGGGGTGGATTTGTACCTCACAGGTGGGTTAGTGGATTAGGGGTGGATTTGTACTCCACAGGTAGCTTAGTGGGTTAGGGGTGGATTTGTACCTCACAGGTGGGTTAGTGGATTAGGGGTGGATTTATACCCCACAGGTAGCTTAGTGGGTTAGGGGTGGATTTGTATTCCACATGTAGCTTAGTCGGTTAGGGGTGGATTTGTACCCCACAGGTGGGTTAGGGGTGGATTTGTATTCCACAGGTAGCTTAGTCGGTTAGGGGTGGATTTGTATTCCACATGTAGCTTAGTCGGTTAGGGGTGGATTTGTACCCCACAGGTGGGTTAGGGGTGGATTTGTATTCCACAGGTAGCTTAGTCGGTTAGGGGTGGATTTGTACTCCACAGGTAGCTTAGTGGATTAGGGGTGGATTTGTACCCCACAGGTAGCTTAGTGGGCTAGGGGTGGATTTGTACTCCACAGATAGCTTAGCAGATTAGGGGTGGATTTGTACCTCACAGGTGGGTTAGTGGATTAGGGGTGGATTTGTATTCCACAGGTAGCTTAGGCCCACTAAGCCAGGTTTGAAGGTTGATTGATATTATACTGATGTTCCTATTTTTTCATCCATTCCTAAATTGTACAGTTTCTCTGTGTTCTGACCAGTGGTTCTACAAGTGACCACGGTTGTCATGGGGAGAAAGGTCAAGGACTGACATCTCTTCCCCAGCATCTCTTATCTAACATGACCACTGTGTTTTAAGGCAATTTATGTGCATTTGAATGGTTTGAAATGTTATAAACTATAAATATTCCCTTGTCAATTAGAAAATATTTGATGAGCCATTGAGCTGGTTTTATTAGTTTTCCTACCAGTAGTTTTCTGTAAGGAGTATTTTCTTATTGCTGTCAATAAAATGCACTAGCAATAGACAAGTAATAAATTATGCATGTGACTAGTTAGACAGTGAATCATTAGTTTATCAAGATGTGAAGATAAATTTGTTTCCTGTGCCTTTCTAATAACTTGACCACTACACTATTCTACAGGTTTTTTTTAACTTGACCACTACACTCCCCCACAGAACTTGACCACTACATTCCCCCACAGAACTTGACCACTACACTCCCCCACAGAACTTGACCACTACACTCCCCCACAGAACTTGACCACTACACTCCCCCACAGAACTTGACCACTACACTATTCTACAGGGATTTTTAACTTGACCACTACATTGCCCCACAGTGATGTAAACTTGACCACTACACATCCCCACATAACTTGACCACTACACTCCCCCACAGAACTTGACCACTACACTCCCCCACAGTGATGTAAACTTGACCACTACACTCCCCCACAAAACTTGACCACTACACTCCCCCACAGAACTTGACCACTACACTCCCCCACAGTGATGTAAACTTGACCACTACACTCCCCCACAAAACTTGACCACTACACTCCCCCACAGAACTTGACCACTACACTCCCCCACAAAACTTGACCACTACACTCCCCCACAGAACTTGACCACTACACCCCCACCCCCCCCCCCCACAATGATGTAAACTTGACCACTACACTCCCCACAGAACTTGACCACTACACTCCCCCACAGAACTTGACCACTACACTCCCCCACAGAACTTGACCACTACACTCCCCCACAGAACTTGACCACTACACTCCCCCACATAACTTGACCACTACACTCCCCCACAATGATGTCACTTGACCTCTACAGTGTCCCCTTAAAACAGAGCACTGTTCTCCTAATTTGTTTTTCTGTCTACATCAATTTATTGATGTTGAAAGTGCTTTCCATTTAAGCTAGGCTTCTTTTAAAATACATTTCATGTACAAATATTTGTTGGAAAAAATACATTTCTTTGTAAAAATAGGTTTTAAATAATCATATTAAATCGTGGGTATAATTTATTAAAGTGTAATATTTAAAATGTTAAAATTAATTATTTCTAATTAGTTTGTTTTTGTTGTGCTGCAGTTATTTATAAAAAAAAACTTTTGTTAAAGTGCTTATGATGAAAACATGTCTTTTGTTAAATAATTTAGTGCTGCATGTCTGTTTTTGATGTGAAGTCTTTTGTCTTAATTTACAGAATTTGTACATCTGTTCTGATGTTCTGTTCTGAATATGTACATTAGTGCTCATGTTATGTACTCAATCTGTACATCAGTGTTCATGTTCTGTACAGATTCTGTACATCCTTGCTGATGTTCTGTACACAATCTGTACATCCCTGCTCATGTTCTGGCATGTTCTGTGGTGCCATCAAACAGCAATAATGATGTATTTTTGTCATGATTTTACTCAGATGTTTGTTGGTTGTATATTATATACTGTTGACTGTTATACCAATGTTGATATGTTTCTCTCAGTGGCATTCAAATGACATTCAATGTTATTTAATATGACATGCAGTGACATGACTAAAATTTCAAATAAATACTTAGATATTTCAAATAACTATTTTGATTTTCTGTTCATTCATATTTTCAATTAGGACGCAAGAGTTTAAAAAAAATATATTTCATGAATTTATTTTTAGTATGTTCATAGATTTCTTCACATTGTTAACTATCGAATATGAGTTATTGTTCTTGCTCCGTTGCAGTAAATCTGTTAGCCCAGTTTTCACGATCTTTTTCTTTCTTCAACATTGGGACATTTAATTTGTTCAGAGATTTTCAAACTCTGAAAAATAACTAAATCTATACCTACTTAAGGTCTACTTACATTTTTTAAAATCTAAGATTGAGCAACCTCCCCCCCCCTCCCCGAGACCACTGGGCACCGTCATTACGGCACTAAAGAGATGGAGATTCTCTTCCACACACCGCACAAATTCAGTACCGTATATCCCAAGGGCGACAATCGGGCTTTTATTTGTCCTAGCAGCTAAGTGTCCTCCCCTTAAATTTGTCTCCCCTCATTTAACAGAAAATAGAAAGGTCAAGTGTAGCATTAGCTTCTGGAAGTTTCTCGCTTTCAAAGGTTGCTGTGTGTGGGTTTAAGAAGAATGTATGTTTGTGTGACGTGGGTTTGTGTCAGTGGTTTGTATGTGTGACGGTGGTTATGTTGGTGGTTATCATGTATATGTGTGGGTAGTTATGTTTATGTATGGGTTTGTGTAAGTGGTTATGTATATGTGTAGGTTTGTGTGGGTGGTTTGATATAGCTGTGTGGTTGGTTATAAAGGAGAGGTTAGTGTGGTTGTGTGTACAAAGCAGATGTGTGTACGAATAAAACGAGAGAGTTTGTTAACATAAAGTTGATCTCCGTGTGCTTTGAAAAACATTTCAATTCACCTATATGTTGCGCATATGTTGTGTATGAGATGTCTGACTCAGCAGATGTGAATGTTTCCTTGACACCGTGAAGGACGGGCTGTATTAAAATGGCTATTCATCACTTCTCCACATAAAGAATAACAGCTTAAACGCGTTAAAAAATCGTTAGCATCGAAAATAAACGGAACAAAATCGTTACTCACAGCACAAGCGAGAGAAATCTATTTTAAATTTTTTTTAAATATTTGGTAGAAGATTTTTAAATTTCCATAAAGTTCAGCTTAAGGCTGATTTTCTCAACGAGAATTTACATTTTATTAAAGCGAGTTTGGCACTATTAAGCTTATTTTGACTTTAATTATGCTACATTAGCTGGCACATTAAAACAATTTAGGAAATAAATGTGCATTTGTAGTTTACAAATCCAAAAAAAGTTGTACAAATTGTCATCGGAATGGCTGTCGTACTTTTGATAGGTTTCTCCAGAATTATTTCCCCTTCCGGAAGTTGTAAAACAAGGTAAATGGCGCAGGAGACCGGAAGTGGGGTCTGTGTGGATATGGATTGTCAATCCACGTTGGATCAAGCAGGCGTCAAGCAGGGCGTATAATGTATGTGTGTGTGGGGAGGGGGGGGGGGACACAAAGATGGAGACCGACACCAAGGTCAGGTTGCCAGAGCAAAAGTTGGGAACAGTTTTTGGATATTTATTGTGCTTGTAGGTCGTAAAGCTTACTCAAAGATCTGAGGGAACGACTAAAAAAACAGGTGTTTCTTTCAGACATTTTCTCCAGGGGGTGGGGAGCAATCGGAACTTCCGGTGTGGGGGGGGGGGGTGGTATCTTTCAAGGATCCCCGAAGAAACTCTGATCGAAAATGTGCCTGTGCAAAATGAGGGAGACCATGACTTAACATGTCTTCCTTGGCCAAAGGCTATGACTTAACATGCCATCATTAGCCATTACTTTAGGCGTGACCAGTTTTAGCACCGCACTATGTCAGATCTAGCGCAGAAGAATGTTTTAAAAAAATGGTGCTGTTCTGACACTAAAATACTAAAATAAAAATATATCCCATAATTCTCGCGACTGTTAGAGATTTTATTAGACCTACACGATTTCATTACTCAGCGAAAACAGAAACGATGTATGTATCTCAATCTTCTAGTGCACCAACTGCTATGTGATAGCCGTCACTAAGCTATAGTACAACATGCAATTAAATTAGCCAATCCGGTGAGGCGTAGCTAGTAGCGGCATGGCGGACGTCCAATCAAACGGCTCGGCAGTCAGGAAGCGGCGGTGACGACATGGCGTCTTGTTTATGGTTGATTGGGCGAGAGTTGTGTTTCCTTTCCACTCTATTTCTGGGGCTGTTAACTGCTCCTGGGGAATGGGCAGAGATCAATGGCTCGATGCGGGCTCATTTGTGTACCTGACATGCGTACAGAAGCTCATGTGTACCGTACACTTTGTAATCCGTTCAGTGTTGTTATGTGTACGCAGAGACATCCTTGAAACAACAAAGACAAATGTACATTATAGAAACACCAAAGAATTGTGTACAGTATAAAACGACAAATACAGGTGTATATTATAGAAATAACATACAGCTGTACATTTTATAAACAACTTAGACAGGTGTCTTACAGATGGTTCGTAGGGCAGATGGAGTAGAGTGCATCTGTTTCTTTGACCTCAGCTGATGAAGGAACGATGTTTTCACTATATCCATATATCTATATCGTTTGGCATAAAAAATAAGGGATCACTCATAGCGTGGGTCACCATATATTTATTAAAACTGGGGTCACCATGAATGAATTAACCTTAATTAGATCTGGGGTCACCACAAATCAACTAAGTCTAGGGTCATCATGAGT